TGAGCCAAACTATATAGTTGTGCAATATACCTCAGAATTTGAAGGTTGAGAATGAGCATTCCCCACGACAGATGTTGTCAAAGTAGCAGTAGTATGATTTAAAGTTACAACCTCGTTTATGTCCAATAAGATTTTTCCATGTTTTGCCAGATTCATCACCACCTCATTGAAGATAAAACACTTCTCAATCATATGACTGACAATACGATGATATTTGCAATATTTTGGGTCGTTAACATGTCCCATCTCTTGAGGGCGTTTGCATTCAAGGATTTCTATAATTTTACTTTCAAGTAAGCATTCCAATATGCCAAGAACATCGAAATCAGGGAATGGGTATTCCTTCTTCTCTAATTCTTTTAGCGTAGGACGCTGTCTTTCCCCTTCTTGAAACTGGTGAGACTTTTTATCATCCTTCTTGTTATCTTTAACATATATCTTAACTGGGGTAGTTAAGTTAGTCATGGATTCTTTAGCAGTGTTCTTTGACGACTTGTCACTCTTCTTCCAGTCTTTCTGATCCTTGCGTGGTTCTATGGCCATCGGACCTTTGTCATCATGGGATTTTATACTGATCTCCATATCATGGGCACGCGTAGCCAATTCTTCGAATGTGCGAGGTTTTATACCTTGGAGAATGTAAAGGAGGCCCCAATGCATTCCTTGCATACACATTTTTACAGCAGAGATTTCTGACAATTGATCCTTGCAGTCAATACTAAGTGTTTGCCACCGATTAATGTAGTTGATTACAGGCTCATCCTTCCATTGCTTCGTGTCAGCCAGTTATATCATACTAATAGTACGACGAGTGTTAGAACCCGTTCAAGAATTCTCGTTCCATTTGGTCTCAACTATTAATTGATTATGACTTTAGGTCGGTGTACCACTCGAACGCGTTTCCTTTAAGAGAGTGAACAAATTGTTTAATTAATAAGTCCCCATCAGTTCCAGCATTGTTGCAAGTCTCGACAAAATGGGCAATGTGTTGCTTGGGGTTGTCTTTTTCGTCAAATTGCTAAATCTTTGGAGGTCGGTATCCTACATGCATCCTCATACTGTCGATTCTCCTTGTATAGGGCTTTGAGTACACGAAAGTGCTCTGTGAGATGCCTCCATATTGAGCTCGGATTGTATTCATTATCTTATCTTGCAATTATTTGACAAATAATGAAGAGACTAAAGAAACGTGATTGGTTTGATCAGTCGTTTGTTCTGTCACTAGCGTCTATTTGGGGTCCTCCATGCGAGTACCTTGTGCGGTAGAATTAAGATTCTCCGTTGGCATTGTTGTGGAAGATGTAGGATTCCCAGACGGTGGTGGTGCACGATTCCCAGATGGCATCGGTGATTCACCGAAAGTCTGAACTTCCAATTTGTTCATCAATGTAGCAATTTGCAAGTCCTTCTCTTCAACAGTCTTTGTGAGTTTCTCAATAGAACGAGCCATAGTTGCTAGTTATTCCTCTACCATGGCAGCTCTAGTCATCATAGCAACAACCACATCTGAGTATGATAGGCCTTGAGAGTCAATGTTCCTTGAAGTGATTGATTGCTCCGAAGTCTGACGTGGTGACTCTGGGGGTGAACTGACACTAGAGTGAGCATCATAGACAGAATGAGGTAAATTTGGTGGCGGAATCTTCTCTAGAACAACGTCAGGGTTCTTGACATGTTGAGTTTTCACATTCGCCGGCTTTGCAGGATTGGTTTTCTTCAAGTCTTGCTGATGTTTGGAGGACGCGATTGCCTGAGACTTGCTACGTGTCACAGGGCCCGCCAAGGTACTTCCAACACTTGATTTGGCCTTCGTGCCACTTTTTATGGTGGCTTTAGCGTTGACCTTTGCAGCAGTGATGTTCTTTTGGGCTTTGTTGTCTGTCTGAGTCTTAGGAGGAGCCATACAATTTGATAGAGAAGAAACTTGATGATAGGAGAAAGAGATTAGAGGCAAAGAAGGTCCCGCCGGGCGTGCCAAAAATTTGTACACACAAATTTTGTAGTCCTGCAAATAAAAACAAAATATGGACAAAAATATATATATATTTTATTAATTGAAAAAACTTAGAGTACAATCCTCTGTAATAATATTCCAAAGAATAACGTCCTCTGATTCGATCTCCATTTTTTTGGCTGGTTGGATCCAAGGGCTGCACGAGTTTGATCTTGAATCACCGTGGAATTTGGATGAAGAACGGCACGTCGTTGGATGTGCTTGTTGTTGATTACCGTGGAATTTGATGAAGAACGGCACGATTTGATGTGCTTGGTGTTCTTTGCTTTTGGGTTTGGATGTCGGGGATGAGAGTTTCTGCATTTCTCTCTCGAATTCTAGATTTCTGAATTCTCCATTTGTGTTCGTTCCTTCTTCCTCCAGGCCTCTATTTATAGGATTCTTGGATTAATAGGATGATGACACGTGTTATCTACTGAAAAGGATAAAATAATGACTGGGCCGGGCCAGTTATATTATGATAATTATCTTTAAAAATAATTATTCCAAATATATTTTATCAGGAATAATTATCGGTTTATTTAACCATCTGGGCTGGGCTAATTAAATATTTTAAGTAGACTAAGTTTGGGCCAATTAAATAACTTAATTAACCATTAGGCCCATATTTAATGGGTCCATTTGTCAAAAACCAAAGCCCACTAAGATTTTAGTGTCTACAGGCAAATCGAGGAACACCAGGAACTTCACTGGGAAACAAACCTCTGTTGAAGGAGTTTGCAAACAGATTAAAGATTGTATGAGGTTAAAACTGTTGTCTGGATTGTTCTAGTTCGAGGTCTGTGGAAGCTGATTGGAGCCTTCTGAACTTAGCTATCAAGGTGAAGCCTCCATAGTCGGATCTTGTGTTGTGTCTCTGCTCTCTGCTATATGATCTTTTTGCTGCTTTTGCTTTCATATGTTAAGGTAGTAATGTTTGGTTGGTGGGTGGATGGGCTTGTTTTGGGTGCTTTTGGGCCAGTTTGTTAGCCCGCTTTTGGGCCAGTTTGTTAGCCCGTTTTGGCTTTCTGTACAATTCTTTTATCAATGCATTAACTTACCAAAAAAAAATATCATTCTATTAAGAAAGGGCAAAAATGGTATTAAAAATAACTTATCCGGTTCTGGGACTTGTTTTTTTTGTAATTTTATGTTAGGAGAATAAGAATGTGGAGCGCCAATATCAGTTGCCATATTTTTTCTTTCTAATTTGTGCCACGTGACTTAAGCTGCTTGATCAATTATTAAACACAAAATTGCAATTTCCTAACTAATAAGTACAAGTTGGAATACATATGTTAATTCATATTAGGCTGACCCTTTGATCCTGTTGATTCATACAAGTAGGCTGACTTTGGACTAAAATGTCGGTTAAAGCGGGAATTACAAGCTGAAGTGTTGCGTGATAATTAACCTAATTCAGTGAATTAAGTGTTTATCTAATGAAGTGTGTTTGATAATACGATTTAAATATCATTAAAAATGGTAAGTACCACTTAAAATGGTGTAAAATTTTAAGTGAGAGGAAAAATTTTAAGAAATATTTACTTTTAATTACCATTTAAAAACTTTAGTATTTAAAATTCAGCTCTTAAAATTTTCAGTATTTATTTTTTAATTTTATAAAACAATAATATATAAGATCTTAACTAATATGTCCAAATTTTCTTTTTGACAAAACAAAATAGGGAGCTGCTATTCGCGTTCCAAAATAATACTCAAACAATCCACTTCTATATATATTTATAAATAAAATGACAAAAATAGCCTTGAACTATCCAAATACGTCTATTTGATTCTCTCCGTATATGAATATATATATCATCTCAAATACTAGAAGTAAGAGATCAATTAGAAGTCAAACTAGAATAGTTCTAAGAAATTTTGGAGCTTCAACCAAATATATAAAAAGTATATACTGTATGTAATTGTGATACATATGAACATATATACAATCTCAAATAACGGAAGGAAGAGATCAATTAAAAATCAAATTCAATAATTCTAGAAAACTTTGGAGCTTCAACGTTAACTAATAGTGTCTATAATATGTTTCAGTAATATTAAAAGACTAAGATGAAAAAATTCAATTGTGCTTATACAACCGTTATCGCAAATTGCAATAGAAAAAATTCACTCTCTGCAAACTTAATTCTTACATTTTTATAAGCATTCGCCTAAATCAAGCCTTATATGTGATTTTCTTTTCCTTTTTATTTATTCAAATAAGCATTCGCCTAGATACCTTCTCGATCCACAGCATTGATGTGACATAATGACAAGAAAACCCTATTATTTTAAAATTTAAAATGTATAAAGAACAAATAAAATAAATCTTAACTTTCTCTCTATTGTATTAATAATCCCAAATGGACATACTTCATTTTCTTATTGTATCACATAAATGTTGAGGTTCTTCAAAACCGGTGCGGAGGCAAATATTGTTCATATTCTTGTTCATTGATATGAATTGATAGTCCTATAAAATAGAAAAAGAAAAAGCACTTATTTTTTAATTTTCCTAAAATAAACTATTTCATTTTTTAAACATTTAAATTGACAAATTATTATTTCTTTAATTAAGGTCTCATATATGGATGTTTTAGGAATGCAAAATCATGCACAAAGTCATACTGCCCATAAGGGGTGTGTGTTTACAAAATTTCTATATCCCAATTATTATTTCTATGCTTTTTAATCCATTGAACAGAGTCATGAAGTGAATGAGAATGTTCCAACTTATTTGAATCCTAATTAATTAAAAGTGATGCTTCGGATTCTACATAGTCTAATCATCTTACGGACTCAAAGCTGCCACGTAGATATATCCAATTCTATTATTATTGGAAAAGTATCCCATGCTTTGAATCAATTGCAATTCTTATGTTTACAAGATGATTATTTATAATTTCAAGTGTGGTCCATTAAATGAGAGCTTATCTAAATCCTTGTTGATCAATCTCAAAGAAAATTTAATCAGAAAACATAAACTCTAAACATATTCCAAATGGGTGGCAAAGGTGGCAGCGGCGGTGGCGGCGGAGGCAAAGGTAGTGGCGGTGGCGGCAGTAAAGGTGGTGGAGGAAGTGGAGCAAAAGGCAGTGGAGGTGTTGGTGGAGGGTCTGGAGGAGCGATGAAGGCGCCTGGTGGTAATGGATCATACATATCAAGGGCCGGGTTTGAGAGCAACCCTCAGGGCTACTTTTCTGGTCTGCATGCTGGTGAAAAGGCCAATAAATAAATAAATGTTACTATCTAATTATATATGGGATGAAATAAATACTGGTGTTTTATGTTTAAATTAATGAAAAAATATATATGAAGTTATGTGTTATAATTGCTTTTAGTCATGAATTGCTTACTTCTTCTTAATTCTCACTTGTTGAAATGTGTAATTTTGATGGGAAGGTTAACCAGCTGCTTATTTGTAAATTAACTTAAATTAACAGTTGTCTGGAAATCAAGAAAAGAAACAATAATAATAATAAAATAAATAAAATGGCATTAGTACTCTTTATTACAATCTTACTTGCCCAAAAAATATATATATACCCGGAAAATATATTTTTTCGGAGTATATATTAACTTTTTTGGTAGCCTAGCTCACATATACATATAATATCCATATATATAAATTTAACTTAATTTTTTTTCTTGATATCCATTTTTATTTTTCCTTTATTCGGAAAATAATAAGTCACACAACTACTTTGTTCCCTATTGGGATACCACTGAAGGCTACACTCTTGTCCTTTTTTAATTTCTTACTTTGCCCACATATTTTCTCTTATATGAAATCCTGAAGTTAGTACTATATATATATATAAGAAAATTGAAATTGAGCTGGTCAAAATAAAATTCATGGGACTATCTTCCCTTTATTTATTTATGTATTATTATTTTTTGGTATGATATAGTTCATTGCAATTTCCCTTGAATTACCCATTCTTTGGCTTCTACAAAGTAGATTGACTTTGGATTAAATTGACAGTCAAAGTGAGAATTATAAGATCTGAAATAATATGTCCAGTTTCATTTTTGACAAATCAAGATAAAATAATTATATATATATAAAATTTATGTTACCTCATCAAAATCATGAATAATTATGTTACCTATTAAATTTTAAAATTTTATATTTTATTTTAAATTTTATTAGTACTATTCTAACTTGAATTCAGTTTTAAATTTGGAGCGTATTTGGGTTGGTTCAAGTTGAGTAGCTTTGGTTGCTGAAAAAGTTGGATAAAAATTTTGTACTTAAAGTCGAGCTAAATATACAACCTTCATGAAATTGTTAAATCTATATTTTGATATATTGGTACATAATTATTTGTAAAGATATGTTCAAAACTTAACGTGTTAGTTGTACATGTAAAATCTTTTCATGTAAATCAAACACAAGTATAAAATTGTGTTTGTAAAATTGACAGTAAGATTAAATGAAATAATATAAAATGAATGACTTAAAAATTAAATATTTATGAAAAGGATATTAAAATTCACACCCAAATCGTTTCTTTTTTTATTTATAATAGTTTGCCTTATAACAATGGTAAGAGGGGTTGCATTGCACACCTGTTGATAATAAACCTAAGTGAACCGTATGTATATTGTATTTATAATTTGTTAAATATTATTTGTATCCATATTTTTTGAGAAAGAAAAGAGCAATGTTAGCTGAAACTTTTTTGGGATATTGGAGTAAACTAAAAACAAAAATGCATTGATTGGCAACCCAATAGGTTTGATTTGGGATATAATTTGAAGTAGAGAAAAGTGTTGAGACTTGAGAAGAGAGATAATGTGATGAACATTCTGGTTATTTGAGGGTAAAATTGTCATTAGTATAATATTTTAAAACCTAAATTCACATACTGTCTTCTACGATAAGAATTAAGCAAGGTGCCTACAGCCACTTAAAATTTTGGTGCATAATATTTTAAGTGGTAGCTGAGCAATTTTTCATACCAAATCGCATTGATTGGGAACCAATAGGTTTAATTTGGGATATAATTTGGAGTAGAGAAAAGTGTTGAGACTTGAGAAGAGAGATAATGTGATAAACATTATGATTATTTGAGGGTAAAATTGTCATTAGTAAAATATTTTAAAACCTAAATTCACTTACTCTTCTACAATAAGAATTAAGCAAGGTGCCTGCAGCCACTTAAAATTTTGGTGCGTAATATTTTAAGTGGTAGCTAAGCAATTTTTCATACCAAATCGCAGTGACTTTAGGTTTAAACCTTTCTGCTAGACATCCACCCATCATATTGGGGTAGTCGATTTATTGATAATGACTGCGAAGAGGACTCTGAAAGAAAACTTTATCCTAGTAGACATCCACGCATCATAAAATCTAATCATGGTATTGATATAGGTTCTATCAGTTTCGCTCAAAAGTGAGCCTAATTGAAGAGGTCTCAACTGTGAACGCAGCGAATAGGATCTTGAGATATGACGTAGAGGGGGTGAATATATAGGTCGGTTCCCAATTTTCGGCTTTTTCTAACTTTAAGATAGATTCACTCAATTCTTTTCTATTGAATGCGGAAGCTAATATATCTAAAATATATTAAATCAAGTACAATTGGTGAATTTATTTATTCGTTGTGTTAAGCGCGACCCATAAATATATAAATCAGAAATAAATAAATAAATTATTTTTAAATAAATAAATAAATCTAATTTATTAAATAAATAAATAAGCAATCAATCACCCCTAATTGATTTTAACCAACCTATAAGTGATATACTATATCTGGTTAATTGCCTTGAACACTTAAGCATGTACGTGAATTAATTTCGACATTATATTAATATAAGCATGCATCAATCACAAAGCAATATATAGGCATTTAAGAAGTGCAGTAAAGTAAAAAGAGATAGACATATACGAGGAAAAACCTCTGAACCCGGGATCAAAAAACCTCTGGAGCCTTTCACAAGGCTAAGAAGAATCCACTATGAAGAAAGAGATTACAACCAGTCCAGTTCCACACCAACACCAGTTAACCTCCAGACTTAATCAAAATTGAGTTCCAACCCGAATTGTTTACTGCAACTGCTTATCTATTTCAATCCCAACCTTTCACTTCTCACCTTTGGATGGTTTAATAATTGGAATTTCAGTACATGTGTTAATGTTGAAAATGTAAGTATGTACCGCAACAATAATATCTATAAGGCCCAGTTCCATCATGCAATTTTTCGTTATTTTTTTATTTTTGATATTTTATTTTTCTATGTGTGGGGACACGTGACGTAGGTTTCCGGGAGTTGTTTGGAGCGTTTCTTTGAGTTTAGAATCATTATATACTTTTTTGGAACCGTTTAAGATATTTTTGGTTTTCTTGCCTGGGAAGTCCTATGTAGGCCCAGGGCCAGGTAGCACCTGTTCCTCTTCCATAGAAGTCATCATGGCTTTTCCTTCAATATTCTTCCGAGGCTTCTTCGTAAAATCCCACCAGTCAGGTTAGCCAATAATCTCGTAGCATCGTTGTTTCGAATGTCATTATTCACCACAATGAGTACATACTTGCCCTCTAGATTTTCTAGTAGCCTAATTACACTGATTTTTCAAAGGGCCTGATGGTGGTCCTTGTCGAGTTTGGTTAGCTATCATCGCTGAGCTCTCTGAGATTGGATGAGATTCTTCCATCGCCTGCTTCTGCTGATACTCTTTCTAGACATATGCATACGCACTCTCGATGTCAAGCTTTGGATCTTTTCGTAGAATTTCTCCATGAACCTATTGAGAGTCAAGTCCGCTTAGAAAAATATGAACTTGAAGCCTCGCCCTGGCCGAGTGCAATTTAACCACTCATTCTTGAACTGTTCATACCTGTGACATAGTCCTGTAATCAATCTCCTAAAAGCTAGCAACAAGTTCATTATAATATGTTGGCAGAGGGCGACCATTCTGCTTGGTAGAAAAAGTCCTCTGATTCAATTAAAAAATACACGTTTCATCCGATCCATTATAGAAGGTCCTAGACAACACTTCCTATATCTCCTTAACTGTGGGAAGATGAACAAATCACTGCATCAATGATGGGATCATCGAGACAATGAGCCAACTCTTGACTCGATGATTTTTGGTCATCCATGCCTCCAATTTTGAATCTCCAGGTGCGGGCCTTTTCACTTCTCCGATGAGATACCTAGCCTTATTACGAGTGCTAATCCGCATCTCCATGAGTTGAGACCGTAATGAGTAATTAGTCTCATCCAGTATAATTCCAGTTGGAAATGCAGAATTGTCTTGGTGGACTATGATTTGTAGTGACAGAGTCGGGGTTGGTACGGTAGTTGCACCTGAAGTAATCGCCATTTAAACTAACAACAGGAATAAAATTCGAAATATGATATTTGGAATACGGAATATGAAGAAGAAGAAGAAGAGAAGAATAAAATTCTTATTGTTGCTCTGATTCCATGTCAAAAATAAGAGAGAGCAATTGTATATTGTACTGATATATGAGATATGAGATACACAAGGATTTATATAGGTGACGAGATGTGTGGCCTATATGGTAAACCTATACATGGTTAGAATATATTACACAATATAATAATAATATATTTTACTATCCTAATTAATTACCAAATCAATTTAGGAGAATTTACATAAATACATTAGGAAATACAACTCATGTTGATAATCTCTGTGTGTGTGTGTGTGTGTGTGTTTTGTTTTTGTTTTTGGTATTAACAACTTTCATATTACGAGTTCTTATTGATCAGAGTGTTTATATATGTGTGTTTGTGTACATGATTTGGCCCTATAGAAGAAATTGGATTGCCTTCTATTATTACATAGTTTGCTTTTTAGTAGAAGAAAATTACAATGTTCTTATTAATTACAATGCTTGCTTCCTTTTTTCTCTTCAGCACTGTAGAAGAAATTGGATTGCCATTTGTAATTTAATGGTGTTAATGGCCAGAAATCATAGAACATGGGTGGAGTACACATTCTGGATTTCATCCAGGGAAGAAGAATTCCCAAATGAAAACGACACCGTTTTTTAATGAGTTATTATTTTATTTTATTCAGAAGGGTATTTTAGTCTTTTCAGTCATGCATTAACAACTTATGTATCATAGACACAGACATGGGACATGGATACAACAAGACACAGATACATTGACATGCCAAATTTTTAAAAAGTAGGACACAGTACGACTTTGACACGACTATATATAAATATGAATTTTTATTTATAAATGTATTGAGTAATAGTATTATAAAAATTTAATTCATTTATAAGTTTATATAATAGTTGTAATGGCTTTTATATCATGCATACCATTATTATACTATTTGTCATAATAGTGTTTTTATTTTAAATGAATAAATGTCATTTAATGCTTGATATCAATTTTTCTTAAAGAAAAAAGTTAAACACTTTAAAATATGTTCATATTATTTTCAAGATTACCGGGTAAGCTTGTATTAAAAATATTTGAAAGAGTTGGCCTAAGTGTCTAAAGTAATAATTTTTTTAATTTTTATTTTATTTATGAACACGTGTACGAGGAGTGTTCGACAAGTGTCGATGTTCGACGCGGACACGACACGGGTACAACTCCTTTGTAGGAGTGTCCGTGCTTCATGGATTAACGGTTTAGTAAAATCTGGCCCTCCTTTGCACCTAAATTGAATGTTATGGAGTTTTGAGAACATATAGGAGGTTGCATACTCTATATGCATACTATATATAGGGGTATTTTTGCTCGCGACCCTGTAATTTATACTTTACAAACCAAAGTGACCAAAGAGTTAGAGAAGAGGCGATGTCTGAGGTGATGATGGGAAAGAATGTTTAATAAGAGTTAACACTTTTTAAAGTTAAATTACGAATTTTTTCCCCCTGAATCAGATGTCTTTGCCTTTTCTCAATCGATACTATAGTAGATTTAAATTACGAATTTAATTTCCCTCCTAAATCTCATGTCTATTTGATAAACATTTTCTGTTGAATGCCTCTTTGCCTTTTCTCAATCGATACTATAGTAGATTTAAATTACGAATTTAATTTCCCTCCTAAATCTCATGTCTATTTGATAAATTACACTAACATTTTCTGTTGAATGCCTAAATAATAAGAAACTCTCATATAGTTTCAAAAATAACACTGACATGATAACCTCTCTTGTAATTATGGTAAGAGTAACACTAATCTCATCTCTCATAAAATCAGTTAGTATTAATTGTTTAAATCCTTCAATATTATTTGTTGATGTCATTCTTGAAATTTACTTAAATCTACTTTTTGCCTTGTAACTTGAAAATAAATGTTTTTGTCCATGTGTTGTAATGATAAATAATAATAAAAATATAATTGGTATAATTGCCATTTCACACATTTAGAAATGGGTTATTATTGTTATTCTTTAAACTATATAGATGTGCCTGTTTTTTGAGCATTTAACAAGAAAGGTCTTAGTAATCAACCCAAAAACATAAAATAAAAAATAATAATAGAAAAGAAAAAAAATTGAAAAGTAAATGACAATGTGACAAAAATGAAAAGTTGTTTGTTGTATTCATTTTGCATTAGAATATATTTGTTGACAAGTTTAGAAATAAAAAATAAAATTAGATGATAATTTGAGCCCGTAAAAAATCAAACAGTAGTAATTTATTCTGTTTGTAATACAGGAATTCGCTAAATAAGGGTGCCTTTAATAACGTTTTCGTTTTCTATTTTTGCAGTCGCAAAGAAACAGAAACATAATTTTGTTTTTCGAAGTAAAAACAGGAGGCAAAAATAACATTTAGTAATGGTGAATATCCATGTAAAAATAACATTGATTTACCAAAGGTGACGTTTTGTATTCACCTTTGCTAATACCAAGAAAAAAAAAAAAAAACACAAAGGTGAATATCCATGTAATAAAAGGTTCAATTTAGGAGTTCACTTGGCTCTTGAATCCATTGAACCGAGTGAAGTGAATGAGAATAGTCCATCTTATTTTGAATACTATAAGAAATTAAAAGTGATGCTTCGGATTCCACAAAGTCTAAGTCTATTGGACGGTGCATGCATCAAGATTCAAGACAATTCTTATGTTTACAAGATGATTATTTATAATTTCAAGTGTGGTCCATTAAATGAGAGCTTATCTAAATCCCTCGTATATAAACTCGGCCATCTCGTCCTTCTGTTGATCAATCTCAAACCAAATTTGATTAGAAACACAAACTCTATATAACCATATTTCAAATGGACGGAAAAGGTGGCAGTGGTGGTGGAGTCCAAGGTGGCAGTGGTGGCGGCGGCGGCGGCGGCGGCGGCGTCCAAGGTGGTGGAGGAAGTGGAGCAAAAGGCAGCGGTGGTGGTGCAGGGTCAGGAGGAATGATGAAGGCTCCTGGTGGTGATGGGTCATACATATCAAGGGATGGGTTTGAGAGTAGCCCTCAGGGCTACTTTTCTGGTGTGCATGCTGGTGAAAAGTCCAATAAATAAAATGTTACTACCTAATTTTAGGGGATGGATGAAGAAGTTTCTCTTTATATGATGGTTCATAATGAATTCTGGCTCTATTTTGTTTTTATTTTTATTTTTATTTTAAATTAATGAAAAAATATATATATGAAATTATGTGGTATTTATAATTGCTTGGTCCTTCGTATGTTTTCTGGTCTGCTTGATTGGTAGCCCAGCCTACACAGACCTCATTTTCATTTACACTTTGGTGTATAATTTATAAAAATTTGTAAAATGCTCTCTCCGAAAATTTTCTTTTCTAAAAATCCCTCTGATTCTCTCTCTCTCTTTTTCTCTGTTTTTTTACTCCAAAAAATTTGCATTCTCTTTATTCATTCAAATACTTATTATTATTATTATTATTATTATTTAATCAAAGTTCTTTCATATTTTATTTCTTTTAATTTTAACTTTTCTTTGTTTTTCTTTTTCTTCATTTGTTTTTGTTAATTATATAAACAACAGTAATGAGATTTTATTTTATTTTTTTAAAAAACAAATATAATATAATAAAAAAATTCAAACATTTTTTTTATAAATAGTGCAACAAATTAAATACCAAACATGTTTTTATTTTCGTAAATAGATGGTTGATTTAATTTCAATAGCCTATCTTGCTACAAATTAATTACATTTGATCAAAAAACTAGAAGTTGGTGGAGTATTTAGGTTGTTTCTCGAGGCAACTTATTAGGCAGTAGCTTCCAGTGTTACTGGCCATTAATCTAATTGTATAACCTTTCTGTCCCAAAGAGGGAGGGAGGGATGGGTGAATACTTATCTTGTCGAAAACAATATTTAAGAAAATGAAAACAAAATATTATGTACACTATTATACTCCTTGTTATAAATGAAATTTAAACTTTCATATGCGTGAATTTTTATTATTTTTATCACATTCAGTATCTTCTAATTTTAAATTAACTTAATGCTTTGAAGATGGAAAAATAATTTCTGCAAGGCCAATTTAATGAGATTCATGTCGGTAAAATGTAAGTAGTTGACAAATATAAATGTTCCTTTATTCCATGTCTAGGAAGCACTTACACACCTAAAAGGGCAAAGAATTTGTGTCAACACTGACAAGCGCCAGACACGCCCCATCACGTGTCGGATACGTCAAAATACATGTCCAAATATTTTATATTTTTTTGAATATCCGGACTTTTTGGGGATTTTTAAGAAAATTTTAGAAACTATGTTGAGTTGAAGTGTAAATTCGCTTCTAATCTTGATAAAGCCATTCAGAATCAATTGGCAAAAGGTCAATTTACACGGTAGATTTGTATTTATTTATTTATTTATTTTTTTACACCATAACATTGGTAGGTAGATTGAGCCTTATAATTTAGTGCAAAGTACAGTTTGAGCATATAACACCCATATCATTTATTATTTATATATAAGTCCTAATTGTTTTAAAAAATGTTGCAAAGAAGTCCTTGTCGTCTTTGATAGCTAGGTTAGAAATTGGACATTAGGAAGTCATGTGCAACGAACATATGTAGGCTTAGGGCTCTATATTTACTAAGTATTTGACTCAAAGTCCCATAATTTCAAAAAAAAAAATGAGGTTGACTAAATAGATGACATGGACATGAACTTTTACTGTTTAATATATTGTGTAACCTAAAATATCATTCTCCCTATTCCAATTCTCACTATTCCAGCACATTTACCTTATTGTCCCCCTTTAATTTACTCACCCACTTTGACCATTGCTGGCCCTAAAATACACTCATTTGTGCATCAAAACCAATCTCACGTATTATTTTAACACCAAATGGGGGTCCTACCGGGTGTGCCAAAATATATTCGCGCGGTTTTTGGCCTTACGCCGATCGATGGACTCTTGCTGATGTGCCAGAGTATTTGTATAAAATACTTAAAATTATGAATTGAACACCAGTCTATCTCTTTTCCGATGGCTGACTTCAGGCGAATGTGTGGGAGAGAGAATAGTAAGAACTCCTAGCAAGGTTTTTTTTCTGCCTTGTCTGTAAGAACTTTTTATAAAAGTGTTAAAAGAAATAAAAATGCAATTTAAAGTAAAGAACTAGCTGAATTGAAATAAACAATAAAGGAAACTGACCGAATTGAAATAAACTGAAAAGTAATGTTTGCAACGGAATGGAATGGCCGAATTGAAATGACTACAATCTGATCAAAGATTTGTCATTGAATCCGTTGCATAAAACAATGATTAAATTTGTGAATAGCATAATTAAGCATTGCAAAAGAATAGTAAGTTACTAGAACTTAGTTTCTTCGAATGAAATTTGCCATTTGGACAAAAGATTTGAAGATAAAATGACGTTGAGTCATTTGATGAATTTTGGATTCATATTGTTTTGTGGGTGGTGCTAAACAAATTGAAATGGAATTACAATACTTCTATTTATAGAAGTCCTATCTAACTAATTTATCATTATTTCTTGCTAGAAAATCTCTTCCCTTGATTCTCTCTTTTTTGTAATTCAAACTGGGTCAAATTTTGGAATACTTTGCCCTTTTGTATGCCTTCTTTCAGTTTCCAATTAAAACCTTCATCTGATCATTCGCTGGAAAACTTCCTTGCTTTAGTCAACTTCAATTGCTTATTTTTTAGCAACTACTTTCTATGAATTTGGCAGCTATATCTTTCCTCAAATGGCTCAACCTTTGGTATCATATCAAAGCCACTTGTCATTTTTAGATTTGTCCATGTAATGACGCAGCTGCCATCCTTCATAATCTTTCCTTCTCAACTAGAATTCTTATTTTATAGGAATGTAGTTGTCCAATTTTACCAAAACTCTAATATCTCCTTTTTTCTGATAACAACCCAATTTAAAAAAGGTCAACTATTTGTTGCTATATTTCAGCAACAACCATATCCATTAGGTGGCTAAAATATATCTTCCTATATTTGCTCTTGATATTTCCAAACTGGCTGATCCCCTTGACTCCATATTAGAAATACCCATCGCTCCTTATTGGTCCATGTCATCGCTGAGATGGCTGCCAAGTTTTAGTGCCAACAAATGCCCTCTAAATTTCAAATGTCTTATCAGCCACTCAGGCTGATAAGATTTTTGGAATTTTTATAACATGAAAGAAACTGGCAGCCAGCGAGCTTCTAGACTTTATTTCTTCCCGACCACCTCTAAGTTAGTCTTTATTTTGTGTCATGCAGGACTGACAGATCCTAATTCTTCTATTATTCCCATATAGTTGGCTGATACCTCTTAAAATATTGGCTATTTATAAACCCATGATAGACCCACCATTGAAGTTTCCCAACTCTACTAGTAAGGTATGATCGTGATCGGCCGAAATCAGGTTGTTATGTAAGGTCATTTGGGCCGATCTAATTGGCTTCTCTATTAGAAGAACAACATTCTGCTAGCATGAAGCTTTTTTGATGGCTGATCCTCTTGAATTTTAATAATCCCATAGAGCTTCTGAAAGCACACTATCCCATGTTTTTGAATAGTCATCTTCTTTAATGATTTAAGATATATCAGCCGGAAATACCAAGAATAATATTTCTTTTGTGGCCGATTTTTTCTCGACCGAGTAAACTTTCAGAATGTTAGCACCCATGATGGCCTGACTCCTCCTTGATTCTTTATTTGGCACCTCAACAGCTGGCCGATGAAGCATTATCCTCGGCCAAAGTACCTTTCTGATTAACCCATTAGCCAGACTTCTTTTCATTGTGGCCGATACTGGTCGCCCCAGTTTATTTGTTCTTTTGAACAAAATAAGATTCTCTTCGTGTAGCACTACATCGGCCACATAAAATTTTCCATTAAATGGCCGATTTATTTTCTTCCACAGATTTCTCTTTAACTTAACCTTTCTTAATTTCCATCCCCGCTTTCTTTTCTTGAAATTCGGTTGAAGTCGAAAAGCTAAAAGAATTCTTTCAGCCAATGATGGTTCTGGCTGAGGATTAGATATCACTCTCAGCCAAGTATTCTAGTAATCTGGCCGATTTGATCCTGAAATTCTTTTACCTTGATAAAAAGTGAATCTCTCTTGAACACTTCTGTTAGAAAACCGAGTTTAGAGTTTTATTTTATGAAAAAACTTCATTTTGCCTCGGTTAATACCTTTCCATTCAGGGCAGCAACCGTGTTGTATGAGAGCCTTGACATTTGGAATGGCTGATGGTGTCCTCTCGGCAACCTTAGGCTAATTCCCTTCATCAACCTTCCTTTTGGGAGCCTGGCTGATCACATTACTACCTGCTATGAAAAGATCATTGTCGATCCCCATGACTTCATCATCCACTCCCTTTTTGGCCGATACGGTAGATGTTCAAGTGCCAAATGTGGCTGTTTTTGCCTTTTTGTACATTAGCCGGCCTATTCTCCCAAGGTCATTACCATATTCTTGCTTAATAATATCAACTACCTGAACATTATCAACCGCCGGCTGATTAGGATGATCAACGACTGGTCGATCCTAATTTACCACTAGTGGCTTATTTACTATTTGTGGCTGATTAGCTATCGACTACCCCCCGAGTACCAAAGGTTTTGGCTGATATACCACTGGCAGCTGATTTTCCACTAGTAGTTGATTATAATTCGGCCAGCCTTGTGGTTGATTAGCCATCGGCTGCCCCCCGAATATCGAAGGTTGTGGTATAGAAGTAACAGGCTGATATTCTGGCCATTCTTATTGCGATTGATTTACCACTGGCGGCTGATTATAATCCGGCCAGCCTTCTGGCTGATTATTCATCGGCTGCCCCCCAAGTCCAGACTAATATACCATTGGCGGCTAATAATAATTTGGCTAGCCTTGTGGCTGATTATCTATCGGCTGCCCCCCAAATATTGAAGGTTGTGGTCTGGAAACAACAGGCTGATATTCTGGCCATTCTTATTGTTATTGATTTACCACTGGTGGCTGATTATAATTTGGCCACCCTTCTGGTTGATTATCCATCGGCTGCCCCCCGAGTCTAGACTGATATACGATTGGTGGTTGATAATAATTCGGCCAGCCTTGTGGCTGATTAGCTATCGGCTGCCCCTTAGTCCCCGTTGATATACCATTGGTGGCTGATAATAATTCAACCAGCTTTCTGGCTGATAAGCCATTATATTTGGTTGACGCAGAACCATCAGTAGCCACGGCTGTGATGGCTGAGTATCCATTGTAGGCTGAACAAATTGTGATGAAATTGGCTGAGTGGCCGATTCCGGATTGTTAAAGCTCCCAGCTTGAGCCAACCTCTTCATAATAGGGGCTAAAAGCTAAGATACTATTTCATGCAGGCCATTTTGACTTGCACTCATTCTTCCCATCGCCTCTAGCAAAGAGCTTGTCTGTATTTGAACCATTGATACTTTTGATGGTATAGCTAGTTCATCCACAGTGACCAAGGTAGAGCTATCAACCTGAGCTGGCTGATGTCCTTCTTCCATCGTCTGTGGTTACGGCCTTAGAGTTCTTCGGCCACGGCATTGCAAATTATTTTAACACCAAATGAGGGTCCACCGGGCGTGCCAAA